TATTGAGTTTACAGCATTTTAACTGTATTTGCTTTATTGCACATCCATCTATCTATACTCTATCATCAATCCACCTTATTTTTTTGATGCATTTCCAGGTAAGTTGCAGGCATGACTATACTTCATCCCCAAACATTTCAACACGCATATAGAATTCAGTATTTTATTGTTCCTTTTTTCTTTTGAGGTAGAATTTACACACAATGAAATGAGTAAATCTTAAGTGTACACAAGGCACTTTAAAAAAATGGTTTTATTCATTTTAGAGAGAGGGAGATAGAAACATCCTCGATTGGCTGCCTCCTGAACACCCACTAGTGGGGACTGAGCCTGCAAGCTGGGCATGTGCCCTGACCAGGAATAGGACCAGCAACCTCCGGGTGCATGGGATGAAGCTCAACCAACTGAGCAACACTGGCCGGGCCACAAGCTACTTTTGAAAACTTAAGTAGCAACTTGCCCTAGGCAGTAATATCTGTGAAGTCATAAATATAATGCACTGGTTGTATTTTCTCCTAAAAGAAATACACAGGCATTAAAATACAAAGTGTTTTTCACATCCCACCTAAAGTCATCTTGTGTAGCATACGTGGTAAGCTTATTGCCCTTTGAACTCTATAGGCCTACATTATTTCATGTAATACTCCCAGCTACTATGGCCCTTGCTACTAAAATTACCCCCCCTTTACAGCTGAAACAAATGAGTCCCTGAGAGGTTAAGAGACAAGGGCAAGGTCACACAGCTACTTCATAACAGATTCCAGCCCAAGTGTCTCTCTCTCTTGCTCTTTTGTTTAAAAAATATCTTTTGATTTTTAGCGAGAGGAAGGGAGAGAGAGATAGAAACATCAATCGGCTGCCTCCAGGGATTGAGCCCATAACCTGGGCATGTGCTCTGTGAATCGAACCAGCAATTTCCTGGTGCATGTGTTGACACCCAACCACTGAAGGCATTAAAATACAAAGTGTTTTTCACATCCCACCTAAAGTCATCTTGTGTAGCATACGTGGTAAGTTTATTGCCCTTTGAGCTCTATAGGCCTACATTATTTCATGTAATACTCCCAGCTACTATGGCCCTTGCTACTAAAATTACCCCCCCTTTACAGCTGAAACAAATGAGTCCCTGAGAGGTTAAGAGACAAGAGCAAGGTCACAGAGCTACTTCATAACAGATTCCAACCCAAGAGTCTCTCTCTCTCTCGTTTAAAAAATATCTTTTGATTTTTAGAGAGAGGAAGGGAGAGAGAGATAGAAACATCAATCGGCTGCCTCCAGGGATTGAGCCCATAACCTGGGCATGTGCTCTGACAGTGAATCAAACCAGCAACTTCCTGGTGCATGTGTTGACACCCAACCACTGAGCAACACTGGCTGGGCCCAACCCAGGTCAGAACACACCTCTGTCCCTGTGGTTTCATGTTGCAGTTGGTTCACTTCCTTCTCCCCTGCCTTTCTCTCCTGGTCTTCAGCTGTTTCCCTGATATTCCCCTTGACCTACTACCCTTCCCTCTATCTGCTTCTTCACCCCGTCTCCTCACAATCATGACTCCTCACTCCTTGCCTTTCCAGAATGCGGACATGCTTACTCTGGAAGAGTGGTCCAGCAGGAGCATTCACCTCCCCCCAGGACCCAGATTCCTGAGTCCACTGAAGGGGCACCTGCAGTCACGGACACCCCTGCTCAGACGTACCTGCCATTCACCCTGCAGTCTACCCAGCAGCCTACGCTTCCAGTAGGAACACTGTCCTTGGACAAAAAGCTCATCCACTCCCAAGAAACCACTACTTCCTCTGTGGGCCACAGTGTAGAGGTTGGGCCTGAAGCTGGGGTGAACCAGAAGCACTTGGAAGAAAATGTGGGTCCTACAGCTGGGTCACATGATGCCATGGTGCCAGTGCTGTCTCTCTTGGGCATCATCCTCACTGGAGCCCTTCTCTATGTGGTGTGTAAGAGGAGAAGTAAGCAGTCACCGTGGTACTCTCCAGGTAAAGTGGATGTCTGAAGCCCTCCACTGGGGACCAGAGCCTCCCTGGCAGGGGTCCTGATCCCAGTGGCACCCAGATAGCTGGAAACCCACCCCAGGCAGGCAAAGATGAAGGCTATCTGCACCATGGACCATAAGGCACGAGAGAAGAGTCAGCCAGCATACAGAATGGGGAGGGAGGGAAGCCACCATGGGCCCTGGGACCAGTCCTTGGCCTTCAAAGCCAGGCAGTGCTTGGAAGAAATACCAAGAAGATCGCAGCTAGAGCAGACTAGTGGGAGATGAAGGGGTGGAAAGTGGGAGCCATCCATTTAATTCACAAATTTTTATTGAGTACCTACTGTGTACCAGATTGATTAAATGTTTGGAGTCTGATTCTCTAATTCAAGCTATCACTTCCCCACCCCAACTTCCCTTGATCTCAGGGCTCACCCCTCAATTTCTTTTCCAGATTTGCAGCGTCAATATAGACCTGTGGCATCATATTCATTCCAACAGTTGGGCTAAGAATGGAAGCTTGTGAGAGTAGAAAATGTGATTTATCCACTACCATAAACATTTAATAAACTGGAACATTCTCTCTGGCACACAGTAGGCACTCTGTACCTATCTGCTACTGTTTAACACCAGCCACTGCCCTCTGTTAGAGCTTTCTTTTTGTCTTTACATTGTGTAAAATTCTGAATGTATATTATTTTTACTAAAAAGTATTTTTCTAATTATTGACTCTTCTTTCTGCATACATTGGCCTCATGCCCTTGCCCCTTCACCATGATTCCTGGCTTCAGCTTCTCTGCTGATGGGACCCCGCTCCCCAAAGTCTCTCTCTATACCACACCAACTTTAGCCCTCACCTGCTTCCTCCCATGACCCCACACTTAAGGCCTGGGTCATCCCACCCTCCCTCAGCAGCCGCCAGCTGCCATCCAGGCTGGATTTACTTCCTCAATCCCTTGTGCCACTCATATATGCCCCAGTCTCAGTCTGAGCTCACTGTCTTTGTTGTTTTTCATTATCAAAACCCTTACTTCCTGTTTTCTCTCTTCCAATGAAGAACGTGTCTTCATTGGGTCAAGTCTGCGGAGGGGGACAAGGACATGAAGTATCTGAGGAAGTGGGTTGGGTGACTGGCTCTTTATCTCCTGTCTGAGCTTGTCAGCACTTTGGTGAAGTTAGAGCAGGAGCACCTGCTAGAGGAGCCACAACAGAGTCGTGGGCAGACGTGGGCTTAAAGTTTCTCCATTCCCACCTTTTGCCTCTTTGTCCTCATCTATGACCAGCAGGGCAGGCATGGCAGCCTGTGGCTCCTCAATCTACAGGTCTCCAGGTTCTGTCCCGGGGGGCAGGTGGTGATCTGCCTCCCAGATGTCTCTCTGCCTGCTTGGCTTAGTTTTCCAGCATCTGCTCACAGGTTCGGGCCACATCGCTGAGCTTGAGGCGAGCATAGTCCACTCGCTTTAGTGCCATCTGACAGTCCTTCCTTGAAGAGTAGCTGGAGCCCTCGTGGGGCTGCCCTGTGGCCACCTAGAGGACATTTCAACTGGTCAACGAAGCCCCCGCCTCCCCTCATCCATCTCCCCAACAAGACATCGGGTCTCTTGTCTCATTTCTTTCCAGAGTTTGAGTTCATACCACATGGTAGCTGGATGACATAGGGCAAACCACCTAACTTCTGATGACCTCATCTGGAAAATGGGGGTGACAATAACTAATTCCTAGAGTTGTACAGTTAAATAAGATCACGCTGTGTGTCTGGTACATTGTAAAAGGTTGGTAAATAGTGGTGGCTACTGTAATGACTTCAGAACCCTCTCAGTCCCGTCTCTTTTATCAGGAAGTAGCTATCTGGGGTTTCAGGCTCCCGAGCCAGTTTCTAGGGACAAAGTCCTGTGACAGGCGCTTGGGTTTACAAGCCCTCTGCCAGGACTTCCTTGTCTAGTGGATCATGTGATGAAACTCGTGAATAGGCAGGGCCGCCTTTCCTTTTAGAGGAAGAAACCAGCCCTGGAGGAGTCCTGCCAGGGTCATTCATCCGGCTTGGTGCCGGCTCGGGCGGCCTGGTCCTGCCTGGCTCCCGAGGTCAAGGCTCCGCCGGGGCCCTCTGAAGACGAAGGCGAAGGCGAAGGCTAAGGCTAAGGCAGAGAGCTGGGTGGGCACCTGCACCTCTCACCACCCACCCACCTGGGTTAGGTAGCGGATCTGAGCCGACAGCTCCGCTTCTACGTGTTGCACCGACGTCGTGAAAGCCGCCGCTTGTCGGTCTAGCAGCCGCTCATTGGTTTTTTCCTTGGAAAGTTCCAGGATTACGGTACCTGCCAGGGCGGAGAGAGGGCAGGGCTACTCAGACACCGGCAGTCCCGCCCCGCCCAAGCGCCAGCCCCTCCAACCCCCTACCCTCCATCCGCCTCCCTCCCGCGCAGCACTAGCACCTAGGGACCTAGGTCCTAGGATCCTTCCCCATCCCCGCTCCTCATCTCGGGTTGGCGCACGTGCCCGGGGCTCGGGCTCGCTCTCGGCCTTCCGGTCGTCGTTTCCCGAACCTGCATTCTGAAGGATGGCGCCGATTTCCCGTTCGATGTCTTCCAAGGCGCGTAGTCGCTCGTTTGCCAGGCTGTAGGTAGCCATTGTCTGTCGCTCGGGGAACCCACCGGATTTTCCCCTTTTGCGAAGCGCGGCGTTTGAGCCCGGAAGGGCACGTCGGTTTCCGCCGGCGCCGAGAGCGATCTCTAGCCGACACTACAATTCCCAGGATGCTCAGCGAAGCCCCGCCTTTCTCGGCTCACCTGGTGAACTACAACGCGCAGGAGTTCTGCGCATGCCCAGACCTGCGCCACCGCCGCAGGACTGCCAGTGCAGGAGACTGCAGCGGGACGTTCTGTAACCAGGGGCGGTCTGACCAGTCAAACCTTCCCACCATTATCTTGTGGCCTATAGTTAATTTCTTCTGTAAGAATTAATTGAGCGTTTGCTGGCGCTAGGGGATGATGGTGGGAGTTCTGGGGTATTCTTCCAGATTACACAGCCGTGGAACCTCTCTCTGTGTGCCCACCCGGCTCCGCCATCTGTTGGGACCCGGGGAAAGCTTGACTTGGTGAGGGTTACATTATTCGCCCTAGCGCTTCCTCCTGGACGGGAGCCCAGCTAAAACACCGACTATCAGTCCTGGCTTATTTCAGCCTTTTCACCTTTCCCTTTCTGGTTTTCCACCATGTGGTGGGCTCAGGTTTACAAAGATGAACGAGGTGGACCCTCCCGCGATATGGCATAGGCGTTTTGTTGGAGCTGTGCCCCGGGTGCACCATCAGGAGCACAGAGAAAGGCCTCCGGGAGGAAGTGCTGCTTGAACGGAATCTAAAGAGTTAACCAGGTATCTACCTTTTTAAAGAGGAAAAGGGAACTGGCACAGGCAAGCGCCTGGTGCGTGAAGGGGTCCAGCGCATTTGAAGGGACAGCAAGGGATTCAGTTTGGCGTGAATGGAAGGTGTGGCTGGGGAGACTGGAGGAGACAGATCTGGAAAAGGTTTGCAAGCTAAGTAATTTGAACTGTGTTCTGAAGGCATTTGGGACCTTTGAAGGATTTTAAAGAGGTGTGCTAGGACAGATTTACCCATTTGGAAAGATCAATGTTGACAGATTATGGAAGATTGAGAGTGAAACCAGTTTGCACAGGGTTAGCAAACTAACCCTGTGAATGGAGACTTTCAGTTAAACTTGAGGGAATCTAGCCCTGGCTGGTTTGGCTCAGTGGATAGAGCGTCAGCCTGGGGACTGCAGGGTCCCAGGTTCGATTCTGGTCAGGGGCATGCACCTTGGTTGTGGGCACATCCCCAGTAGGAGGTGTGCAGGAGGCAGCTGATTGATGTTTCTCTCTCATCGATGTTTCTAACTCTCTATCTCTCCCCCTTCCTCTCTGTAAAAAATCAATAAAAAATATTTTTAAAAAAAGCAATGGAAAAATATCAAAATAACAATAGGGGACTCTCTTCTCCCCTCCTCTCTCCCTTCCACTCTGTCTAGAAATCAATCCTCCAGTGAGGATTAATAATAATAATAATAACAACAACAACAACAATAGGGGATTTCATAAAAAGGTCAAAAAGAAAGAGGAGTTAATAGCAAAGTTTTAGATAGAAACTGAAAAACAGAAGGATAAATGGCAACTGATGTTTAAAAAAATTTTTTTTATTGATTTCAGAGAGATAAAGGGAGAGGGAGAGATAGAAACATCAATGATGAGAGAGAATCACTGATCAGCTGCCTCTTGCACGCCCTCTACTGGAGATGGAGCCCAAAAGCCAAGCATGTGCCCTCATGAGGAATCAAACCAGGAATAAAAATTGGTTCACCGGTCCATCCTCAACCACTGAGCCACACCTGTTGGGCAGTGGCAAATGATTTAGCAGTGAAGTGGTAACTAAACCAGCAGTGAAGAAAGTTTAGAAGCAACTTGATATATTCTTGAATTACTGGCGTCATGTACAACTGGGGTGTAGGTGGTACCAACGTTAGGAGGATTCTTTGAAGTATTTAGACTCCTCCCATCTCCTCCTTTACTCCGTATATCTGGGCAACTACTCACCTCCAACCCATAGTGTTACTGGAGACTTCTTTGTTGGAGATGGAAAACAGAGGGTCTTCAGCCTGAAGAATATTTGGGAACAGTTGTATTGAAAATAGAGAAGTGAAAGTTTATTTACTGAGTGGTGGTTTCTTGAACTCTGCCATCCAGATCAGAGACTGGAAGGCTCTTATTTGGGGAATCTGACTAGTGAGAGAAGACATTTCAGAGTATTAACACCTGGGGTCCCCCAACAAAGCACTTAGCCAGATCACCCCATGGTGAAACCCATAGTTGGCCCCAACTTTGTCTATAGACAATGTAAAGTAAAACTTAAGGAAAAAGAAAACTATTGATACTTTTTACATAAGAGATACTATAATAAAGGATTGCATCTAAGAAAACACACTTGAAAAGTAAAACCCCGAGGGAAGGAATGAAAAATCTAGCAAAAGGGTTTAAAGAGAAATTGAGAAACTCTCCCAGCTAGTAAAGCAAAAGAAAGAAAAAAGGGGGGGGGGAAGGGGGGGGAGTGGATTAGAGAATCAGACTGAGGGCTTAAAGATCAGAGAAAATGAAGAGTAAGAAAGGAAGGGCTGCCCAGCCTGTGTGGCTCAGTGGTTGAGTGTCGACCCATGAACCAAGAGGTTGCTGGTTTGATTCCCAGTCTGGGTGCACGCCCAGGTTGTGGGCTAGATCCCTGGTAGGATGCCTGAAGGAGGCAGCCCATCAGTGATGTTTCTCTTTCATCAATGTTTCTATCGCTATCAATAAAAAACTTATTTTAAAATAAAAACAATCTTTCCCTCTTTCCTCTCTCTAAAAATCAATAAAAAAAAATAAAGGAAGGGCTTGTGCTTCCAGATGAAAAGGGCCCATCCATTGCTCATCATCAAGCCACATCATGAAATACCAGATGTAAAAGCTTCCAGAGAGAAAACAGACGGCATGTGAAGGATCAGCAATTAGAATGGCACTGAGCCTCTTAATAGTAACACTCGAGACTAGAAGACAGTGGATCATGCCTTCAGCATTTGGCGGGGGGTGGGGAGTGATTTCCAATCTGGAATTCTGTTCTCCAGCTCTGTAGGGTGAAGGCTAAAATGCAACGACTCAACAAAATAGAACTTATTTTTTTCTTCCAAAAAGAAAAAAGTGGGC